GCCCTGTGAGCCTGATAGAGACCTTGCAAGTAGAAAAAGCTCATGCTTTTCTGGCTGGATGGGCTCCATGAGAGCAATTTCCTTGGGAAGAATGACTGGTGGGAAGACCCAGACATTCGATCTACACAAGATGTGCTATGATAGGGCAGGAATCATGCTGCTGAGATCATTACACAGATCATGCCCAGTGACGGTGCACTGGATGCTCAAGAACAGATGAAGGTTCTCATCTCAGAAATACCTGTGCTTGTCATCTGTTGTTGGAAGGAATCTGTAACACCTATGCAAGGGAAATGTCCTGCCACACAGCGAATGGATCAGGAGCCAGACCCACCACACTCAACTTTTGATGGCCTCAGTTAAGGAGTCCTGGGAGACATATCAAGCTGGGAACTCGGGATCTGCTTTCATATCAGCGTCCACTGCAAGCAGAATTGACCAGATAGTCAGCCACTACAAGACTGATATCTCAGCTCAAGCTCTTCCATGTTGCCAGATGACTACACTGAGTACCTTGCAACAAAATGGGCAAAATTCAATTTGTAAAGAAACCAAGAATTAAATATGGGATAAAAATGCAGAATATGCTAGAAATCATTGTATAAGAATGTCATCTCTATTCCAGGATATTTACAGGCAGGCTGCAGACTTCAACTGTAATGACGTCACACAATAGAAAATTAAAACGTTTCACTAAACAAGAAGATGAATGGTTATGACATTTGTCCTCCGGATCAGTGACAATTATTTTGGGAGATGAATAAATAGCAAAGTTAAGATGAAATTTCAGATTCCACAGACAAGAGGCAAGCATGAACTTAAACATGCATCCCAAATTTCTAGATTGTTCCATAAACTGCAAGTGGAAAGGATCCAAGCATGCAGACTTAGGCAAGGAATAAATGTTCTCACTCACAATGTTTAACTTTTAGAATTTCAGCACCACCAAGAGTGAAATAGCTGCTAACGTGCTTTACAAAAGCTTTACAACCAGCCCAAAGCTGGGTGGTTTATTAGTAAACTTCCAACAGGGTTTTACAAAGACCTGAAAACTTTCTTGCAGAAGAATGAAGATAGAGCTGTACGTAGAACAGGCAGCTATGAAATACAGGTGCCAGCACAGTTTTAAAAACAAGGTTTCTTACAAGGATGATTTTGGACATGCTTCTGTCTTCTGGAACGCACTGTAAGCCATAGTTGTTCCTCTGAAGCTGGACCTAGGAGATAGCTGTCAACTGAGTCTCTAGTACCTACTAGAAGATCTCATATTAGTTCCTGACTCTTCTGATATTGCTGAACTTTTCACCCACGTGTGCCAGCAGACATGAAGATCTGACTGCAAAGGCAAAATGGTCCTGAGGTACTAATGCTATGGATTAATTCAGGCTGTGGATCAACAGTTTGATGTGTTCAATTTCTGTTCTCACCAGCGCATGGACAGCCAGAGACACTTGTAATCTGTGACTGCAGGTACATGTTGCCAGGGCTCTGGAAATGCTATCTGACAGCTAAACCAGTGAGTGTGTACTCATCAACTTCAGCACCTCTGGAGTAGTAGTTTTCTGGTTTCATGAATGTGGGAAAGCTACCTGTCATACTGTCCTAAAACTGACCTATGATACACAGGACAGAGCTTTTAAGTTTTCCTGTGAGACTTTGCCCATACTTAGGGGATGGGAATTACTATGCACCAGTGTTTCCAAGCCCCTCATCTATGCTGCTGCCGCTTACCAGCTTATTGCTCATCTGCTGACTGCTGGTAGCCAACTGTCTACGCATACCTAGTCACTGCCAAACAAAAGAAACGTGCTGCCTTAGATCTCCTGACAGTGTGAGCCTTGCTAGAAAACAGACCACCAGGGTGGCTTAGACTAATGCAGGTCTAGTGTAAAGGCAGGCTTAGAGAGCTGACACAGGTACCAGAGCTCTGCTCAGAAGTGGCACCTTGCTAAGCCAGAGCAATGTTGTCTGTATGTATTTTCTTACCTAAGTCTTAGCATGCTTTGCTTTGTTTTCTGCAGTATCTCAACACATTTCCCATCACATTTGTATTACAGTGCAAGAAACTAAAATGTAAACTCTTTATAAGCAGACAGGAACCAACCATCTAATAAGGGCTAAGCTGGGACAGGCTGGGAGGTCTGTGATAACACAGTAATAAGCCCAATGACACAATTCCTAGTGAGTTCCTCTGTATATACCCAGAATATCTGGCAGGTACAACCAGTGACTGGTTACTTGCTGGTCATATGGTTGTAACAGCAACATAGAGAAACATCACATGCAAGAAAATTTATCTAAATACATCTGATTTTCATATTCACAATTGCAGTGGTGTAGCAGGTATTTTGTAAAAGCAGATTAAATTAAACCTCCAGATCTGCCTATTGACCAGACAAAGACAGCCTGAACTCCTAGAGAACATGGGGAGTTTTACCTCAGCAAAACCTGAGTAAGGGTTTAAATCAGTGAGATAGGAAGCTGCTCCCAGAAGGAAGATACACAACATCTGGCATGATGCCGGGATGCTGCACCATCTCCATCTGTGGCCCAAATACAGCAAAGTATCTGCCATATCTTTTCAGAACAGCATCTTAAATTTAGTTCATTCTGCAGAGGGTCTTGCTCAGTTGTGGGATGTATCTATTGAAAGTCACACTGTAATATTTAATATTTATGTTAAAGAATCAGAAGGCTCAAATCCAGGCTTTAAAACCTAAAATACCTAAAATGCATTTAAAACAAGGTGTCATTATTTACTATTTAAGTATCTGTCAAGTGCTGGAAATGTTCTCAAAACATGAATCAGGACAGAGCTATTTTATTTTCAGTGGAAAGGCCTGAACCTCATTTAATCTATTTCAGCTTTTGACCTGCCAGAACCCATTTAGAATGAAGCACTGCGTGAATTATAGAGCAACAGCAACTTCTACTGTGCCCTAATTATTGATTAAAGTAGAAAGTAAGCATTTGCACAGTCCAGACTCCAGTGAAATGCCTCCCCTATTCAGAAGAACAGCAAGTTCAGTGCATGCTTTTCTGTGGTGCTGCTGCTAGGTATGTTACCCAACTGTGACCTGAAAGTGAAAACAGCTATAAAAACATATGAATCATCTTCTTAGATGATTTTTATCCAAGTTCAGACAGGTAGCCTGGATTGTTAAGCTGGTTTTACCTTACTATCCTGTGGTTAAAGCAGAATTTAGGTAAGGAAATGTACATGTGTCTGTTTTAAAGCTGGCATTGGCCCTCTAACACACAAATAAAACTTAAATAAATCTCATTCCCAAAAAAAGCTGGATTCTGCAGGCTGGGGAATAAACACAAGCTGATTACTCTTGCCATTAATGTTCTGCAAAGTGATTTTCCTGACATAAAACTCATTTTCACCCATTTTGGTTTTGCAGCATGGTAGCAATAATGTTTAAGCTTGTTGGACATCATCTCATGAAAACACACCACCTTCACTGGGCAGGCATCCCACTGCTGTCTGAAAGGAAACCCTTTTGCACCAGGTTAAAGATCAAAAGAGAACATCTTGTTTTGTCATTTTAAAAAGAACTTACTTGGATGTTTCAGTCTGAAAGAATACATTAATGGAGGTTTCAACTTTGGAAGCCAATTTGGAACAAAAGGCAATGTAAAAACATCAAGCTGTCCCAAGGGCCTCACAAAGGCCATTTGCATCTTGTCTGTATACTCTCTAGTAGAAGGAAGACTAATGCCAGCACGTACCAGCTATTAGCACGTGCTACTGAGACTCCTGCTATTGCCAGTTCAGTATAAGGACTGCAGGTTTTCTTACATAGCATGGGAAAGGGGGTACTGGCAATCAAGAAGTCATAATGGAAAGGCATTTTTTGTCTGGTTCCCATTAATTAAAGCCTCTTTTGTGTCTCTATTTAAAAAGCCTTTTTAAAACCACCATCTGCGGTGGTCCAAACAGCCAGCATAGAGGCAGTGTAGGGCACACAGAGGGTCCCTGTGGCTGATTTCCTGCACGGTAGCTGCACCTCCTTTCACGTCAGTCCTTACCCAGACCAGGGTCCCACTGCTGCTGGGACACTGTATGAATATGGACTCAGGAAAATTACCTGTCTTGAACAAAATGAATGTCTATAGGTGAGGCATTTCTGGACACCTAGAGCCTATAGGAACTGAAAACTAGAAACTGGGAAGGACTAAGTGGAAGGCCTTTAGAGTATTTACATGCACTGAATACGAGATTAAAGGATCAATCACTGTAGATAGACATAACCCATATGCAAGGCTGTCCAGCCCCCTAGGAGAGACAGGAACATCTCTGTGTCTAGGAGGCATATAATCTGAGATGCCCAGTCAGCAGATTTAGCCCATACCCTGCATAGCACTGAGATGCTGGAAGCCCTGAGACAGTGGCAGCCACCACCGTGACCTCTGGGACTCCAGGCATACCTATGTACCCAGTCCAGACCTCTGGGTGTGCTCCAGGATCCAGCCTCCAACCATCTCACCTGAACAGCAGCTCGTACTTGGTTTAGCTTCTGGAAACAGAAACGCAACCTCACCTCAGGGGAAATTTCATTACAGCCCTCGCTGTGATTTCCTCAGTTGGTTCAGAGACTCACATACCCCCTCGCAAGAGTCATGGGAAGATGTTTGTCTCTTTCACTGCACAACACAGTCCACCTTGAGACAGCAATACTACCAGATACAGCTTATCACACAGACTGTTCTCACACAGCACACCACGTGAACTTGTGCCTTACTCGCATTTTGTGTGAAAGAGTAAGCAACGTTCAGTTCAATCAGAAATGAAAGCAGAACCCATTCTAACAAATGGGGAGTAACGACAAGCCCTGATTCTCCTCTTGGACACGATCACAGCTCCTCTTATGGCCAAACAGAGCTGGGAGTGCACAAGACAGGAAGAGGGCTCTTGGAGAACAGAAGAACCTGCTTTAAGGACATGACACAGAGCTACAACAACCAGGGAGAGAGAGAAGTAGAAAGAGACATACTGGAGAAGCTGACCATTGCGAAATGCTGACACCGGTCTCCTGTGAATTCGATCGGACACCTACCGGAAGAAAGAAAACCAGAAAGAGAGAAACAAGATAGCAAAATGACACCCAAACAGACTGCACTGAGGCCCCTTCTGAACCTTTTCATGACTCCTATCCATCTGCTCTCAGCCTTCACCCTTACCTGCATCCCTAAGCCCTAACCCAAAGCTGACACCAAGAGAGCCATCCCTGACTAGACCACTCTACATCCACCGCTGTGCCCGGGAGGTTTTAAGTAGTGTGGTGCATTTTTTGTCTTCAAACATACTTTGCTTAGGATCTGGCATGTACAATCGCAAAGGCAGTTTCTCCAAACATCTCTGTCCGAAGAATCCGTTTGGACATCTGGAGGGGAAAAGGGGAGAAATCACAGAACACGTCTGGCATCATTCTTGAGGCTAAGGTCAGAAATAAAAAGTGCATTGTGATGAATGGAAAAAATAAAGGCTTTATGAGTACATTTATTCTTCATTTTGCTTTAACCAGGCACCTGTAACATCAGCATTCCAGCTCTACTTTTTGGCCTGGGTCTTCAAGCAGCCAGCCAAACCCCTCCTTTCCTACTCTGCCTGCCGGTTTCCTTCTCACCTGCTAGAAGCACCCACTGGCAGGAAGATTGAGATGGGCTGTTTGCTACTTTCAGAGGCTTTCCTTGGAGCTGCTACCTAGACAAGACTGGCAAGAGGCGCCACAGGGTGGTGAGCAGCTGCTCAGGCGACAGTGAGCGTTGCATGTGGCAAGCGTCTTCCCATCATTACCCCAGAAGTACCCACAGGGTGCTCCAGGGAAAAAGGTTGCGGTTAGAAAGGAAACATGTGCAGAGTCTCTGTGTTAACAGAGAGAAGGGGACAGAGAAGAAAGCTGAACCCAACAGGTCTCACTTGCTGCCCAGTTGCGAGGCACTCTCAGGATACTCTCAAAGTTATGTGATGGACCGAGATGTGACAGCTCATGAGACACCCGTTGTACTTCAGCATGATGCTGTAGTGGTGGAGATGGTGCCCTCTGGATGAGGACCCCCAGGCAGGTGCTTCTGAATAAGCTCCCCGGACCACCCCGCAGGCTGAGCCAGGTCTGGGGAGCACGGGGACGAGGCAGGGGTGCAGTGGGAACTGCTGGACCATGCTCAGTGCAGCAGCACTTGCTCCCTCTGTGCTGTGATCCACTGCAGCTGAGAGTGAACCTGGGAGCTGATGGGAGCTCAGCCAGGGGTGGTCCAATGCTTTTCCACCAGGAACTTATCTCTCTTCCTCCCTTCATATCTTTTCTTCTGGCCTCCTTGGATTTGGATAGTCTCTCAAAGTTATCCCTAGGTTTCTTGAAGTCACAGCTCTTACCTGCCTGTCTCACAACTCACTCCCTCCCTCTTAAGACACAGCTCTGAATCCAAGGAGAAGATACAGCCAATAAAAAGCTGCATAATCTCTTCATCCCATTTACTGTCCTCCACCTCATCACCTCCATGGCTCCAAACCTGTCCATCTTTCCCCTAAAGAATGCATTTCCCAGTTCTCCAAGACAGGGTGCCCCATGTCCAGGGGACATACCTCCTTGCTGTCCCTCTCACAGAAGAAAGCTTTGGTAGGCCCTGCATAACTGACATGACTTTGGAACTTAATTTCTTGCTGGTTTTCACTGTTTTGGTAGGTCTGTGCTGAGCAAAAAAGCTGGTGCACCCTCCCTGTCCATGACTAAACCTGTTTTCTATGCTACATAGCATTTGTTTTTTGGGACCTGTGCTAACACCTCCATGTAGGAGTGTGCTGGGCTATTTGTGCACCCTGAACTTCCTGGGGACAACTTAAAGGCATGGCTCTGCATGAGGCCATGCCTCTAAACTCCCTAGTCATCCACTTCAGTTTTTTGGTATCCAAGTAACTTTTGAAACTGGAAATTCCACTCCTTGGTCAGGCAGATATCCTTGCAAAATTCACCTTCTTTTCTCATTCCTGGACATTCATCTTGGAGCACAGGGAAGGGAGACATACCAGTAACATCGTTTCAGTACCAGCGAGCCCAGACAGCTCCCAAGGAAAGCCCAGCCCAAGGGTTTACCATCAGACATGAGGGCTGTTGACCTTCTCCGTGATGAAGTGGAGGAAGCTGGTGCTGGAAAGTGGATTGAAGAGGATGCCCTCTTGGCAGTCAAAGAGCACACACCTGAGGCAGCTGGGTGATGCACACTCACAAGGACATCCCTAGGGAAGCACAACTTTGGAGCAACCTTAAGAGATTTCATTGAGGTTTGAACGAGGCATCCAAAATAGAAGGTGTCTTCCCAATCTTTTTTGAAGTTTATTCATCACCACTGAGGGAGTCACGCTCTTATCCACAAAATCTTCAAAGGTATCCAGTTTAGCTTGCAATGTGCTGTCCATTTGTCTGGGATCTGAGATTTCACGTATGTTGTGAGAGCTCTGAAGGGTCTCTGGTGCTGCTGAATGAAGCAAATGTCCTACGCACCTCAAAAAGGGCACTTTGTCTTAAAGGAGCTAAAACTATCTCAGGTGCACATCTGCAAGAGGTCAGCCAAGGCTGGAACTTCATTGTGACTGAAGCTGCATGCCATTAAGGACAGACTGAAAATGATGTGCAAAATGGTGGAAGGAAATAAAAACCCAGAGAAAGAAAATGGTGAGAAGTGTAAAAGCAAAACAGAAAAGTGCCAAAGAAGCTTTGATGCCGTGACAGCTACCATATAGCCCTTTATCAGATCTCTGCAGTCAGCCTAGTGTGGGTGGGGAGAAGATCTTGCTAGACAGAAGGCAGTAGACAACAGTCTTGTCTGTGTCTAGGACAGCTCAGGCTTTTCATCTTTAGTTACTAGTGAATCAGCAGTGGGAAAAGTGACAGAAAATAAACCCTCATGAACATGAGCACCTTCTGTCACCTCCCAAGCTAGTATACAAGCTGTCAAAACACTCTGGCATCCCTGGGTCCTAATTCCTCATAAACAGGGTTGCTGGCATCAACAGTGACCAGGAGACCTTTGAAAACCTGCAGTGCTCATGGTTCCTTTTTTTTAGCTGTCTCATAGTTGTAGGCTGGTGAAGATGGTTTGTTACTCATTACTATGGCTCTAGACATGAAATTTACAGTGTACATGGCACATGAATCTCCCTGTCAGGACAGGAAGAACAATGGAAAGGACCCATTCTGCATGCAGGATCTGCAACCTGTGGTAAGGACTTCTGGGCAGCTCTTCTTCAGTGGCCAAGCATATGCCCTGAGGGATAGACCTGAAAGTTAAGGCTCATTAAGGTCGAGAGCCATGAGGTGGTCTTTGATCATGGCATCCTTCTTCCTGCACATTTGAGCCTACTCAAGAGGTTTTGGATGGTTATCCCAGCAAAACAGAGTCCCTACTCCTTTTGAAAGCTCTTGCAGAGACTACACAGATGGTGGACTATTCCAAAAGAAGACCTTTTCCTGGTCACATCACTGGTGTCCTGGAGGCCAAACATGTCTTTCCTCAAAGGCCTAGGGAAGCGGACAAAGCTGGGTTTGTAAGAATCATCTTGAGGATGCAAGGCTGCACCAACCTCTTGCAGACAATACCTTGTCCCCTCTCTAGCCTGTGTGGACACCCCCAAGACTGCCAAGATTTTTCTGTCCAGATTCTATTGTTGCTGGGAAATATCAAATTCTTTCAGTTTTGACCAGCTCCTTAAGATTTTTTTTTCCAACTCCATATTAAAAACTTCCACAAGGTTCTGTTCTTGCATTCAAGATGAGTTTATTTACATGGTAAAGAAAAATGCAGTAAAATGCAGCCAAATAAAGCAGCTTGAAAAGTACAAACCAAAATGGTTTGAATGACCCATTTCTGTGTTGTTTGCAGAGCACTTTTTTATGTAAATTGAGAAGCTGTGACCTTTTGCCCCATATCTGGGCAGAGCAAGAATTATTGTTAATTATTATTTGCTACTATTAATTAATAACACCATTATCATAATGTTTCCTGCTGGAAGCAACACTTTTTCTGCCCAGCAGTTGATCTAAATCTTGCAGGGGTTGGCACATTTCCTCTGCTCCCCAAGATCTTAATTAAAGCATGCCAAATTTGGTAGTTCTCATAGTGCAATCCATGGTACAGAAGAATGTGAACGAGCAGGTGCTTCAAAATAACAGGATAAGGAGAAGCTGTAGCAAAAGGACACAATGCACTGATAAAAGCAAGAGGAGAAATATTTCAAGCATGTTGCTTAGTTGTGTGAAGGGCTGAAAAAGAAGACAGTTCTGTCATTGTCCCCTGACCAGTCCCAGATGATCGGGCTCTGGAGTGCCGCAAAAGGCTGAACTCCACAAAACCGCTGATGGGAAGAAAAGAAGGCAACCAGAATAAACACAGAGGCCTTATCCAGAGCAGCTAATCAAGGCATGTTTGCTGTACAGTACAGTCCAAACCACAGGGACATCTACCTATGAGCTCAGTGAAGACAATAGTGAAGCTCCAACTGGGCTATGGGAGCTCAGCAGGATCTATGCTGTTGTCTTTTGTCTTCTCTGAGCCTCACTGTTGCAGGATCAGCTTCCACACTCTGATGGTGTCAAAGGGTCTGCTATAGTTATATATGCACTAAAAAGGATGTGTTGAATAGGATGCATAGGTGGGCTACTTGAACCTGAAAATGTACCTGCTCTCATCACCCATTATAAACAGCATGCAGAACCAAATGAATGAGTCGTGCTGTTTCAGGAGGTTTGGAACAGGATGCGGAGATTTTCACCTCTAGCTCGGCACTGTGAGCTCTTCATTCCCAAGGACCTTGCAATATCTCCTCACAGAACTGCTCATATACCCATGGCAGAGATAGATATCCTTGTGTCTGTGCAATGTGCAGCTTGTGCTGACCTACTAGTAGAGTCATCGAGAGGGGTGGCATAGCTTACAGGGGAGCTGAGCAAGCTGTGCTGCAGGGAGGACAGGATCAGCCTGTTCACCACTTTGAATGCTGCTCTGAAAACATGTAGGCAGCCTGGCAATATTGCTAACCTGTCAGAATGATCTTTCCTATCTCCTGGGAAAACCTGCAGGAAACAAAATCCATGGAGGAGGCTTCCAGGAAGTGAACGTGTAGTTTTGTAAACTGGTGATATGCATACATCAACTAGTTTAAAATTGAATTGATCTTTCCTCCTTTATTTTGTTCTGGGTTTTGTGCTCTCCTTGACTTTCACTTTTTGAATGAGGTCCTCCATGGCCCTGACCTCACTCTCTGATGTAATGCAATGCTGTCAGCCCAAACCCAGACAGTCTGTGTATCTGTCAGCATTTGTAAATCCTTCAATCTCACTATTGCAAGCAAAACTGGTCCAACACGAAGAGGAGATGTTGCTCTGTAAAGCTGTAAGTCTTCTGATTCCATGCAATTTTGGAAGATCTTGGCCCATGGTATCAGCCACTTCGATTACATCCACCCCGCAAATGAGTCATGAAGTTCATTTAAGTGGGCAGAAAGGACTGTGCAGTGATGAGATTTGGCTTTGCTTCTTTGTTTGGTTGGGAAGACCCAACTGTAGATAACATGTGCCAAGACCTAACTGGAAAAAGGAGTAATTCCGCATAGCACCCAGCAGTAAAAGATTAGAGCAGCCTCAATCTGCTCTAGGTTGTGCCAAAACTCCAATGGGCTGCAGGACCAAGGCAGACCCAAGATCAGAGGCTGTTTGCCATTCAAGCACTACTTTGAGCTGGACACAACAAACCAGTTATTGTTCTCCTGTGTCCCAGACCAGCTGAAGACCTTGAGACGTGCTTGTGTGCATCCCTTCGGCAGACACTGGAATTTGCTCTACTCAAACTCATCACTCCCCTAGAGTTATGGTGAGAAACCAGTCCAGCTTGTAAGGTCTCTCTGAGCAAAATGTTCTGGAGAAGGATCGAGAAATTCTTCCTGTCAACAAGAGCCTGAGGCTTTTTAATTTACTGTTGAATCAATTCTGTATGTGCGTGGCTCAGTCGTTTCCTGGGTTTATGCAGACAATTTGCAGGATATCTGAGGCAAATCACACTTCTCCCATCTAACTTCCAGCTGGTCTGTTTGCAGAGTTGGGGTAATGGCACAGATTGTATCATGTTCGGGTTTCCTTTGACACTAGCATGTGTAGAATTTACTTCAAATTTAGGACAATATTATGCAAGCTCACAATCAAAAGAAGACAATTTCTGCAAGAGCTCCAAGTCTGTTTGGGCTTTCCCCTTTGAAGAAAATGTCCAAAGTCCAGCTGAAGTGTGTTGAAAGAGGATGGAGGAAGTGGCTTTACAGGCAGTTTGTTCCTCAGAATTTAAAAGACTAGGAAGAACAAGTTTCTGTTAAAAAAAAAAATAATAAAAGGCCACGTGCCAATTCAGGTGATATCTGTAACAAATCAAGCATGAGCCGCTTCAGAAGAAGAAATCATTGGACAACCTAGCTGCTCATTTTGCTCCAGAGTGTCAGGAAGGATCTCCTATGTTTGTGGACAGCTGCAAACCATGAAATTCAGCCCAGAAGGCTAATTACAGGATGGTGGCAGGTAGTAAAGAACACTCTAAAAGTTTCTGATAGTCACTATTGGAAAGGCTGGTAACATGAATGTGTGCCTGGGTGCTAGAATCAACTAAACACGCAGTGAAGGAGGACTTCAAGCTGGCACATGGTGCCAGAAGACCCCCAAGGCCCTGCTGTCTCTAGTCAGAGTAGCAAAGCAGGAACAGGACATGGACATATGTGTTGTTCCTGGCTCAAGATGCTCATGTGGCTCTTGTTTGATCTCTGAGACGTTTGAAGAGGTTATGTGCAGAAGGACCTATTGATCTCCTCCATGCTCATGTCTTAGATGCATGGTGTGGTTGGAGGACCAAGGCTGGCTCCCATGTTACAGAGTTCAGAAATGCAGGTCAAAGCCTGCCTCTTTGCCTCCTCTAGTTTCTCCTCTGAATCTGTACAACTGTACCTTTCACAAACCACAGCAGCAGATCTCCTGTCTTGCTGTAAAAAAGCAGCTGTGAAACATTCCAGCATTCTGTTAGTTTGCAGGCAGACAAATGCTAAGTCTGTTTATCCATCATCAGCCTTCCCCAAGAATCATCCATGTTACTGGAAAAGCCATTTTATGGGAAGTATTATGTCCAGTTCAAATGCTTCTGTGTTCCTCAATAACTATTATCTTCCAGAGTCCAGAAACTCTAAAATTGACCACTTCAAAAGCCAGGATTTCTTATCTTCAGTCTAAGATTTGATGATAGAAACACTCAAGGAGACTGAACATCCAGATATCTCCTCAAGCAGCAAGATCAGAAGTTTCTGTACTGTGTGGAAGGCATTTGGGACCCCTGAGTTCCTGTTAAGGCAGAACTGTCATTTCTGGTGGATGAACAGTGGCAGTGCAGACCTTCAAAGCACCTCCTTTCAGTTAACACTTTGCTGCCCTTCCATACACAACCACTCAATTGTCAGATTTTAGCAATTGGTATCTTGGGACTCATCAGAAAGGAAATCATTTCACCATCTGCAAGTAAGGAATTAAGGCTTTCAAATTATATGACATAATTAGGTCTGGATTGTATGGCACATAAAATCTTAACGGAATCCATCAGTCAGCTCCCCTCTGTTCATCAGCTGTCATAGCAGCCTGGTTTGAAGGTAGACGGTTTCTTTGCAAGGCTGGAATTACATTGGTTAAAACAGTCCGTCTGCTGAAGACACTTGATAACTACCACATGTATCCTTCAGTAGGAAAAATGGAGCTTTACCATCATAGCTGAGGAGTTCAGGTAACTTCTGATGTAATTGGAAATTGACCCAATTTGAAAAGTCTTGATCTGGATTCAAGTTCTTCCCAAAAGAAATAGTCTTCAGATCTATGCTTTTGGCATCATTGCGTTGCTGAAGAGGTAGAGATATTAATTCATACATTCCTCCAGGCTTCAAGGGTTGAGCACTCCCCAGCATGGGAAGACTGGAACTGACCTGCCCAGCCACTCCAGAATAGTGGCTGTGACCTTGATTCACCATACAGAGCTTCCTCCATGTTTCCTATGGGGAACTCTGGCAAGATGAACTTACAGTGCCACCAGGAAGCCAATGGCAGAGTCAGCTACCCTGAAATAGAAGCCTGTGGTATGCAAAGGCTGCTCTCACTTCATGCACATGGGAAACGTGGAGGACCACAGCATCTGATTTCTGTCCTACCTGGCTCTTTTCATGTGTGAAGGGGCAAGCCTGGCAGAACTGGAAGATGCTGTTTATCCTATGTCCTTCTCACCACAGCTGATCCTGCATTGGAAAGTGAGAGCACAGGAGCTCAGCAGAATGCATTTCCATTACTGCTCCCTGCCAAAACAAGAGTTGGGAGAAGGGAAGAATTGTGCTAAACATAATCCAGCTCACAACCCTTCCAGAAGCAGTGATGGTTCTGTTCAGACGTGCCCTTCAAGGCCTGAGGAGCTGAGGTGTCTAGTGAGCATCACACCACTCAGTGGTACTAGGTTAACATACATCCACAGATGTAAATACCTTTGGCTGTGCACCTCCATGGAGAGGTCTTTGGGCCATGCACAGAGAAAAGAGTCAGCTGCGGACTTCTCCAAGCTGGCACAGTGATTCTGGATCCCAGGTGAGCTCAGAAGCTGACTGCATCTGCTCAGCACATCCAGGGCATCACCTCACACTCACTCCACAGGAGCCTGGGAGCAGGTATAGGTATGCTTTAGGTACCTACGTCTCCAGCATGGACAGTCAGACTGCAGTTGTCATTCACAGTCCCCATTAGGCTTGGAGGGTGAGCTGTGAGATGCTATTAGGCTTGCTGGCTGTGATAGGTTTGAACCAGAGGTGAAAACGTCTCACATCCCATTCCACATCCCTCAGACTGTGCAGCCCCACTTCAACCTCTCTGAGAAATTTCATTTTAAGGATAACTTGGTATGTCTCCCTGATTGGGTTTTGGGTTTTGTTTTTTGGGTTTTTTTTTCGTTTGTTTTGGTTTGGTTTTTTGCAGGTTTTAACATTTGAAAGGGAGAAATAAACAACCCACAGTGGCACAGTGCGGTGAACAGCTATGTGCTAAACCTGCTTCTGGGCCCATGAAGTGCAGATAGGAGAGGTCAGAGGCAGGTCTCAGCAAGGGACCCCTCCGGTCATGGAGGAGAGAGGTGGCTGTGCCCTGGGAAAAGCCACCTCAGGGAAAGCAAAAGGGATCTGACTTTCCCTGAAGCTGCAGAGGAGAAAGGGAAGAAAGGGAAAGGAAACAGCCAGGACAAATGCATTCTTAGAGGAAAAGTCAGGAAAAGTGAACAGTAGCACACACACAGAAAGGAACTATGACCCCTCCTCCCCACTCCTGGTCTCCCTTTCTGAACCTGCACAGCTCAAACTGCAATTGCCAGAAGAACTTCAGAGCAGTTGCACAGAGGTCTCCTCTCCCCCAACGAAGTAATTTCCATATTGACACAAGAACTACACTCACTTACTTGCAAGACAGTTGATTAATCCCCTCGATGTAGTAGCATACCCCACCATTAACACAATAGGACTTGGCTGTTTCGTTGCATTTTCTAGCATGCCCGGACCAGGAGGAGAGAGTTGTGGTTACTGCAGGGACAAAAATAAACACACACAAAAAGGACATATTGTTATTTCCTTTGTTGGGCAATTCTGTTTTCTTAGATGATGTTCAATGAGTTCATTTGCCAAAGTAAAAACCCCAGAGACACAAACCTGAATCTATGCCCTTAGACCAACCTTTGCCTCTTCAGGTCCTGGGGCTGTGACTTGACCTTTCTTTTCCCAACAACAGTGGCCAACTGAGTGAAGAGTTGAGGACATGCCTTCCCCTAAGCAGCCAGCATGTCAGGACAAGATCATCTTTTTGGCAAGCTGCAGTGACAAGCTCCCCTTTCCCATCTCTCCTTGCCCTGCCCTTTTACATGCATGCAACCCTGCACCAGCAGGCAGGAGGTTAGGAAGAACACGTACTGCAGGCTCACAGAGTCATGGTGGCATGCTGATGAGGCCTGATTTATGCCATGATACTGAACCAAGATCCAGAGATAAGTCAGGGAATATTTCATTGCTCTACATCTCTGGGAGGAAGTTTTCAGAGACAGAACCAAATGCCTTCATTGTCACTGTAACAGGCCCAGCTCACGTAAAAACAGCTCCATCTCTCCCTCCCCATCTGAGCATTTCTCTATCATGCCCCAATGGGGCTGCCTCAACAGATCAAGCAGAAGTTCAGCAGTAGAAGTCAGCCAGCCCCAGTCTGTGCTAAGAGGGAGGCAGCCACCAAGTTTCCTGGGGATACAGAGGCTTTTCCACATCCAGCTTGCTTTCTGGAGAAAAGCTTTCCAGCCATGTAAGCTACAAACCAAGCTGACAGGACTCTGCAGAATTTCACTGCAATTCCTGTCTGAACAATTCAGACAAATTTACAGCCCAGAACAGAGTCTGCATGGGAAAACAAAGGCTTCTAGACAGGGAAAAACTTTCTGTTAAAGCAACTGATACAGGTTACAAAAGCCAACCAGCTTTGGGGAACTCAGACCCATCTTCACACAATAGAAAGAAGGGCTGGGCGTTCAAAAGCATCTGTTTTTTCCATCCAAATACTTAATCTCATTAAAGATAGTTCTTCTTCCTGGACTACCCACCTTGCTTATGTCCTTACACAGTTACATCTCCAGCAGCATGGCTGTTACCCATTTCCCAGTGCCTTTTATGCTGTACCTTCCTGCACCCTGTTTTCCAAAGCATGAATAGGCCTCATGGAGAGCGCTGGTGCCTTCAGACCAGTTGCTCATTGTCACAGGGTTTGAGGAAGAAGGCTGGACCCCCCACCACTAGAGCCATGGTCTCTGTTCTCACAGTCCAAGCTCCATCCCGGCACCTGTCAGGCATGTGCAGGCTCCCATAGGTAAAAGAGGGCTCCCAGCATCCCATAAAGCCTCTCACATTTGGGCGATGTTTGGTGCACGAGCACCCAAATAAGGATGTTCTGGCTTTCTTGCTTTTAGTACTATCTGACTACATCGGGCTTGTCCCTCTGTGAATGAGGAGTTTGCTCACCAGGCTGTGCACAGCAGGAGTAGCCCACACTGTTACCTGCACACAGCTCAAGGCAGAGCCAAGCTTACTGTTCTTTTTGCTTGAACCCATGCATTGCCCAACCCTATTGTCTTCTGTCCCCACAGGGAAGTCAACGCCTTCCACTGTCTGACAGAGACAGGGTTGTGCACTAAGCAGAGCTATTTCTATGCTTTGCCTTGAATAACCATTGCCTCTGGGGTTGTCTTTTCACTGTTATCCAGGGCAGAGCAAGTTGTCCCAAAGTGCTCTGCAAAGAAGACATGGCAAATACTTCAGTAAAGACTGAAAATGCGCATGGCCCTGGGACAGCAAATAGCTGCTTCCCTCCTAAGGCACACCAGTCAGCTGGGAGCTGAATGTGCAGAGCAGGATACACATACTGGAGTGTATCTGGGTTTTAGAACAGATAATTTGGCCAAGCCACCAAATAAGTCCTTGCAAAAAACCCTCAAATATGAAAACTTCCAAACTTTAGTAAGGAAATTCAGTGCTCCCTTCCAGTGAAGATTAATGGCAACTAGAAGCCAAAGCCATCGTACTGGCTTTGAAACAAGTCTGCAGCATTTATACCTTTATGAGGATTGTAGCACATTTATTCTAAGGCCAGTGGAGAACTGCAGGTTCAGGACAGAGGAGCTCTAATGGGGTGTGATAGCACCTGGACTTTCTTTCCAAGGCATGTCCTTTAGCTAGTCTTAATCCAGCCACTTAAACCAAGCCTTAACACCAAAGGCCATTTAAAAAATGAGCATGAAAATAAAACCAAGCCTGGCAGCACACGGCTGTGTTCCAAAAGGCAGTCGGAGCCAGGCTGTGCACAGGCTTCACTGTGCATATGCATGGGAAGCTGCAGGTTGTGCAGGCTGCCGCACTAGCAGAAGCTGCCTGCTTTGCCCTGGAGCTCTCTTGGAGCTGACTGGGCTGAAAGCAGTGACAGAACAAGCAAAAGCCTGCCAGGGAAGTGTGAAACTTGGAGGGGAGCAGGGACACAAAAGACAGACACCATCCCTTCGAAGGGTCGCTGAGCACTGCCTGGCCAGCACACAGCATGGGAGCTGTGAAAGCTTTGGTTTGGAGTGCTTGTAGACTTCTGCTGAAGTACCTTAGAACTGAACAATGAACAGGCCTGTGTCAAAGCTGCAAGTGTGCCATCAGATCAGGGAGCACTGAAGCTTCATGAACGAAAGCACTGGTGCAAACTGAAAGGCACACAGATGAAGAACAAGCACAGCCTGCAGGAAGCCGTCACCCCTACAACCATCAAGTATACCGGTTGCTAGCAAGCAGAACAATCCATCTGGCAAAGTCTCACATCATAAATCCTACAGGAAAGGATTCTGGAGCAAGCCTTCCCACAGTAAGGGGGAAGCAGAGAAGGAGAAATAAAAACAGAGCCCAGAAACTGCCCCATTAAAAGCACCTCAGATGTAAAGGTACCATTTCCATCAGAGAAGGTGGACCATAAGATGCAGTGCTCTGTGATGTTGTGATACCAGAGTGGATTACAGTGCTGACCAGGTAGAGATTGCATGGGATTTTCATCCCATATGAACAATTCTGTTCCTTTTAAACAAATACAAAAGATTCTAACATGAACGAGGCTTGGGACATGAATGCTGTGCACTGCTAGAAACAGAGCTGTCAATTGAGCTATGCCTGTCAAAAATACACAGTTCGTCAGTTCTCCTAGCAGCATCTTGTTGTCATCTTTTAAATCCTGTTTTCTGCAAGTACTGTGCCTATTCTCCCGAAGAAGCACAAAGTGTTTTAAAACTGAATCACAGATTCGTATTACCATAGTCTGTTTTTTAGCAGCATAGATATAGCAAAGGCTACAAAAAGAAGCAGTCAGCCCAGTTCCCTCCTGAGAAGAAAGCGTCATGAAATACAGGCCTTCATAAGACCATAAGCTGAGCAGCACTGGTCAAACCAAAGCCCTGTCTTGTGTCTGACAGTGGCTGATAGGCAATGCTTAAAGAAGAAGATCAGCACAAGCATGCAATGATCATTTTCTTCCGGCACATCTAAGATAAGTTGCTCAGAGAAAACCTAAGTCAGCCACAGTGTCTTTACATTTAATAGCCTTTAATGGATTTCTCTTCCATGAACATGTGTAGTTACTGTTTGAACAAATCTTGTAACATCCACACTACTTGTGACAAGAGCTCCAGTGTTACATACACAGTGTGCAAAGACACATCTCCATCTACTGACTTTAAACCTGCCCCTTCCTGGCTCTTATATTAGAAAAAATAATCATCTTCCCCCCTCATTTCCCCTGAGCTACCTGTGGCTTTACAGGCACAGCCAGCACCTCCTTCCCTAGCTGTAAAGTCCCAGAGCTGAGAACAAAGCAGAAGGGAATAAGGAGGTAAGGATGGGGAAAAGAGGGCTGCCTCTTGATGGATGTGATTGCCAAACACCTGAAGCCACATTTTATTGCTGCTGTGCCAGACAGTGAGGACAGTGCTGCATAAACAGGACAGATTCAGAGTGCTGTAGTCATTCAGAGCATCTATTTTCCATCACACACCAAGGTTATTTGGGATTAACATCAATGACAGGGCAACAAAGAGGAGAGCCACGGACACTGAAGTCCTTCAGGACTTCCCTTCATGCAATCCATCTATGCAGAAAGGCCATTAATGACCGTGCAGGAATCCTTACACAATTCCTACCATGCACGTCATTTAACCTTTACAGGCAGCTCACCAGCCTGCTCTTGGAAATCAGGTAAAATACTCCCCCTGCAAAGAGTTACTTAATGCAGCTTGGACTATAAATTATAGTTAATTTTCCACAAATTACAGCTACTGTCGAGGAGAGCAGGGACACAGTGATAGGTTTGCTGATCCTTTGTGTTATTAACTAACTTTGACTGGAGGGTTCATAGAGTACAGACACTTCATTCTCTCAATATTTAGACATTCAGTTAGACAGATGAACTCAGCTGGTTGGAGAGTGTATACAAATTGCCTGCTCTGTATATGCCTCATGTACTTACTGATAAAACACAGAATTGCTGAGGTTCCTCTCAACTGAGTTCATCCAACCGCTTGTCAGAAGAACATGGATGAGAAGGTGTCTGGCCAAGCTATTCCTCAGTTGTAGCACTGTAAACCTGGTGTGAACCACACTAAATCCATGATTTACACTGATTATTGCATGGAGGAGCTGTTGATCCTAACCATTCTCCCTGTGGCAGGTTTCTGTAGGTCTGGCACGACACCCTTTTCTCTTAATAAACCTGAACAGAGGCTGGATGCTCACCGCTATCTGCACATAGAATCAGAAGGGTCTGTGCAGACTGGGGCTCGCCTGGCAACAGTCTGGAGACCTTGGAGCTCATAAAAATTCTGCTCCTGTGTGTTTATTCATCTGGAAACAACCCAGTATTTACCCCTGCATTTTATTGAAATGGATCCTGCTGGAATTATGTTCCCAGTTCCTGTGGATCAATAGCTGCAGATTTGAAGTTCATCCCAGAATACAAATGCCAGACTGCA